TTCAGCAGGTAGCAGAGGGAGGGGTCATGGCCCAGGCCCCACTGCCAGAGGCAATCCCTGCCAGCCCAGGGTGTCCTGAGGGGGTGAGCGCACTGGCCCATGAGGGCAGCAGAGGGGAGAGGGAGCACCAGCAGTGTCTGCCGTGAGGGTGATAATAATTCCTAGCTGGCCAGGTTGTTGGAAGACAAGGGGGCAAAATCCCCGATGGCATCTGGCCTGTGAGAAAAGCTCAGTACCTGTTGGCTACTATTACCAGGAGTGTCACTGTTTCTGCGGGAGCCCCAGCCCCTAGCACAGGTGCAGGAAGGAAGGGAAGGATGGAGGAGCAGATATGGCTGGAGTCACAGGCTTCTGGCTACTGTTCTTTGGGCTCTTCCCTCTTCCTGACTCTCCAGGGGCATCCACGAGCCTGCGCAGTAAGGAGCGATGGGTCCCCTGGCTTGTTGAGAACTGTTTCTTCATCTCGACAAGGGAGACATCGCCTTCTTTACCTGTTCCCAGGGCTTCCTGGGAGGGTCAGGCTGAGGAGAAGGGCCTGTGGGGTGCCAGAAGCCCTGTCCCCATGGCAGACTCCAACTTCTACCCCTGGCTCCTGGGCTGGGGTGAAAGAAACGAGGACAGAGGAGGCAGTAAGGACAGGCGGTGGGGAGACAGGGGCAGAAGGCGGAGGCTGCAGATGCGAACCTCAGGGTCAGGGAGGGCGCGGTTGGTTGGCAGGGGCAATGAGAAAGCTCCTCGCCCCATTCGAAAAAAAAAGGAAAGTGCCATTGAAGTCGGTTTCTCAGGACTGAGTGAACAGGTCAGGCGCCTGGGGACCCTGGGGTGGACCAGCACCCACAGAGGCCCCCAGCTCCTCTCAGAATCCTCCAAGCCAAGGCCTGTGAGGGCTGAAGACAGAGGACAGAGCCTTCGCCTTCCCCAGGGGTCGCCAGTTACAGTCTGAGCCTTTGGAGGATGCCTGAGCCCAGATGCCAAGGGAGACAGATCTGGAAGAGTCCTGCTTGTGGGGTCCACATCAGGCCCATTTTACAGACGGGGAGCGTGAGGCCCTGAGAGGGGAGGCCTTTCTGGCACCGTCAGCAAATAAGAAGCTAAGGCAGCAGCTGACCGACACAGCGGGCTCTTTCCCAAGGCTGTCAAGGCTGATGCAGCGCATCCCCTCCAGAAACCACCCTCCTTTCACGGGGCCCCATGGGGCGCACTTGCAGCAAGATGTTAGCAGCCCTTTTCTCCTTTACCCACAAACGCTAGCAGAGCAGGTAAGAAGGGGTCCTTGACACAGCACATTTCCATGGGGGCCGATGACGTAAAGGGCTACTGTTCCTTTGAAAACCATCATCTTTATTGTCCCCCACAACGACAGGGTCTTGCAGCACTTAAAGTACATGGTCATCAGCTTTGCTGGTGTAGAGACCGAGGCTGCCAGCAGTAAGGGGATCTGCCCAGGTCACCAGCCAGCGAGCTGCAAAACTAGGAGTTGAACAAACATCTCCCGAAGCCCTTTCGGGGTGGATGGAGGCTCCAGAGAGAGCCAAGCACCCCATGCCAACACTCTGGGCCTCAGACCTGGGCCTGGGCGGTCCTCGTTCCAAATCCGACAAGGCCTCTTTCTTTTTGTCACTGGGAATCTGGGTCCCAGCCCTTATCACTAGACTCTAAATCACCTCCTTCCCTGCGGCCACCTTCCTTTTGGAGAGGCTTTGACTTTCTACCAAAGGACCCCCTAAGGTTTCCAGTTGCACCCTCCTCTGGGTCCAGGGTGCCCTAGAGCCAGCCCTGGCCTGGCTAGGATAGCAGGTGGCCAGGTAGTGGCCTTGCCTCTCTGGCTCAGCCTTGGCAGTTTGGGCCCAGCATCCACAGGAAGTGGCTGGTGAGGCCTCCATGATAAGCTCCCACCCAGCACGGTCCTGGGCCTCTGATAGCCTCTCCCTGGATCTGCTGGGCCAGCGGTTCCCAAACTTTAAAATCATCTGCGGAGTCTTTCCACCAAAAGACCCCGTAGGGTTTCCATAAACAAGCTCCCCAGGGGGTTCCGATGTGCTGACAAGCTTGGGAGCTACTGTGTTAGGTCACAACACACCCAGATTTCCACACCCAGTTCGGAGAGGCTGGCTCCATGTTCCCTGGCACCTGGTACCCTGCTTCTCCAGTAAACCAGAGCCTAGTGGTTCTTGCCCTCTGAGCGGCTGGGGACAGGAAGGTCACCAAGGTAGCCTTATTTAGGCAAGACCCTGAGGGTATCTCCCAATGACTAACACTCGCCCTGTCCCCCCTCACTGAGTTCAGAGTCCACCTCTACCCCTGGCCTGTTCCTTGACACCTCGTGCCCCATCTCTACAGCTCTGCCAAAGCCTCTCATACAGGTCTGGGCTCAGCATGCCCAGACCGAACCAAAAATGAAGCTAAGGTTTGGAAATACCCTCGTTATCTCCCATGCAGTTGACCAGGATCCCGGAGGAAACTTGTACTGGTTCTGAAGTTTGGGGGGCTGGGGTCAGGGGGTGGAAGAAGGCTCGAGATGGAAAGGAGAGACGTTGGATGCTGAAGTTCAGATTCACGGCTTAGAAACTGGTACGCCCACTTTGCCGGGCGAATGAGCAGTGACTTCTAAAACTTAAAGGGCCTCCGCCCTTTGACTCCACAAACAAACTTCTCAGCAGAAAGCCACGTGGCGCAGAACACATTGGAGCGTTAGATGAGGAAATCCTGCAATGGTTTTTAAACAATCTAGATGCCAAAAAGTTTGATGTGACCACTGGATTATGGGCATGAAGGCCACTGAGTATGTGTTGACAGCTGGATCCTCAAGATATATTATTGAACAAACAAGACACGTTTATAACGATATGCACAATATGAGATTGTTTGTTTCAAAAAATACACATAAACAAAAAACCAATACTGTATTTCTTCTCACAGGTCTATAATAACATGTTTTTATAAGTTAGAGGTTGAGAGCATGAATTTTGGAGCCAGGCTCTCTAGGTTTTGGACTAAACTTTCCACCACGTGCAGGCTACAGAGCTTCAGAAATTCACGTAGCCTCTTTGGGCCTCAATATTCTCATCTGTAAAATGAGGATAATAACAGC